TTGTATACCATGAGTAATTAGTATGTCAATGGAGAGGAGAGGGGAGAGGGGGAGGTGGAAGTGATTTGGATAATCAAAATGTCAACAATAGACAGAGATGATCCAAAATGACATTTTATGTTGATTTTAAGGGAGTTTGAGCCCAATTTGAATTTTGCACTACTGCCTAAGCATGATACTGCGCTTGTGTATTATAAAATATAAATTGCTTTGAACTGTGAATAATATTACAAATCTTGGAATAATCTCACCATAGAAACCATTGCAAAAATGCAAATTTTGAACATTTTTTTACTTTTGTTTCTAACAAATTTGTTCCAATTTTTTTTAGTCATTTTCAGTATCTTAAAGGGGTCGTAACGTGCGCACATACAGGATTTAAGTCCTAAGTGATGATAACAACACATGCTAAAAAAGACACTTAAGCATGCATGCGCAGGTGATAACTCACATAATAGCCATTATTTATTTATTTTATTCATTCATTCCTTCATTCTTTCATTTATTAATTCACTTACTACCTAAAATACTGCAAGACCCTCATATACTTAGTTTTGTTTACAAAGGCTGGGCTCAGACTAGACTAGCTTTAGCTATTTTCTGAAGCCCTTTTCACCCATTTTCTGTGACATAGACAATAATGTATTTCTTACTTCTTATTTCAGAATGAATAAACGTATTATTATTATTATTATTATTATTATTATAATAAAGTAATAATAAACGTATGTAGATGTATATCAAACAATGATATCATGACTGCAGTCTACTGATACATAACACACACTGCATATGTCTACTGAGAATTATGTAAACACTTCAACTCTAGTACTTACATATCTGCATCACTACATGGAGTGATTCTAAGCGGCGTCTCTCGACCATCTCTCACACTGGCAGCTGTTGATGGTCGTTTAGGTGTACTACTAGCACTAGAGCCTGCAAAGTAATACCAAAAAAAGTACATACATCAAATAAAACAGATAATTAATCAGGCAATAGTATTTTCACAGAAATATGACAAATATGTACAAGGATTGATGCTTATTTGCAATACACATATTAAATTGTATAACTGGCCAGGTAATGTAACTGGCCAGAAATCATCATTTCTGTACATTAGTATTTATTTAATTTCCTATGTAACTGGTGAAATAAATAAATAAAAAAAAAGGTTTATTACTACATGTACATATACTAATGACCTACTGTGAATCACTTCAATTTTGTAAAAAAATTAATTTTTGCAAATTTTGGGAGTCAGTGGCATTCACATAATTTTGTTTCCAGGAATGAAAATCAAATTTATAGCCGCAAAAATTAAATGGTTTACCAATAATATTCATTTACAAAATTCACTGTAAAATTAATAACATTCCTGATCCATAGTAGAATAGGCACTGGAATCATCATTTTAATGTTTTGATACAAATACTGCCATAAAATCTGTATTAGAAGCCGCATCCCTAATAGAGGTCGCACCCATTCTTTTTGCACTATTGAGAACCAAAAATTCACCGTTTTCATGTGTAGATGTTTTAATAGAAGCCGCATCCCCTCTGTTGTATTGTACTATTTTAATAGAAGCGGCAGCTTCTAATACAGATTTTACAGTAGCATCAATTCTAACCTGTGGTAGTTTTAATTATGTTTTTATTTTTGAATACTTCAGATTTGATAAAGTAAAACCAAATTTTGGAAAAAAATGTAGTTGCCGAAAAATATCACACACATTACTACATCACACAGGCATGGCAAACTTAATGATGGCGGTGATGCTCACAAAAGTTAATATTTTTTCTAAAAAACATACCATGCTATTCTACTATGACCATATACCTACCTACTTGTATCTCACGATAAAACAAAATCAAAATTTTTTTTTTCAATGATATTGATCAATTTTCGCTGAACACTTAGACTGTACTCACCTGAACTAGTTGTGTCATGTAATACATAGTCTAAAACATCAATATTACAATCTGCTAAGACTACACCAGAATCCCTAGAAATAAACATTAAACATTTCCATCATTAAGATAATTATAGTTTTATTTATGTAGATAATTTATCAATGTTAGCAAACTTCTAATCAAGACAGTTATGTCAGAAAATTAACATTCAACATCTAACAAAAATCAAGAAATGTTACATTCCAAATATTATATCAAAATCTTCCATGATCCCATCCTCAATATTGACTTAATTATTAGAGAACATTGGTCATCTTACCTTCCACCATCTCTTTTATCTTTTAAACTACCAAGTAGTAGACGTATATGATTTACCAGGCTTTCTCGAACCCGTGGCGGCTCTGGTAAGGGATTACTTTTTGGCACAATACTATTTGTTTCTTCTCTGAATTCTCTCCATATGTCTATCAATGTGTCTACCTGTGAATGGAATCACCAAAACATAGTGAGTGAAGTACAATTTAACTGACCATCAAGCGTAACCTCTTCTGTTTGTGCAGTTAGGATAGGGTTCTCCTAAAGTATACAATAGCATGGCAATGCGATCATGCTGTGAGAACTAGCCATCATGCCTTCATATTGAGCCACCATGCTTGGAACGTGACTGCCAAGGTAATTATTTAACAAGCTTTATTAATGAGGTATATATTCACGAAAATCACAAGTCAGGGACAATTTAAACATGCAGCCTGTTGGCTGAGATAGCTCCGCTGTTAGCAGTCACATTTCAATTAAAGAACTGAAGATATCATTAGAAAATGAACAATATGTATAGTATGTATAGCAATCGGACTTGCTGTTTCAACAAGAATTCAAAAATATTACTTTTTACCAAAAATGACAAAAATATTCATCAAAATTAGATAATTGAAGATATCATTACGAAATGAACAAATCTGAGAGAGGTTTACCTGAGGTACCTATATGCATAGTATCAAAGCAATCACACTTACGATTTTCAACAAGAAGTCGAAAATATCACTTTTTACTAAAAATTACAAAAATATTCACCAAAATTAGAGAATCTAAGATATCATCACAAAATGAACAAATCTGAGAAAGGTCCACATGTAGTATCTATATATGTAATATCAAAGCAATTGGACTTGCGGTTTTTAACAAGAAGTCGAAAATATCACTTTTTACCAAAAATATTCACAAAAATTAGAGAATTCAAGATATCATCAGGAAATGAACAAATCTGAGAAAGAACAATCCAAGGTCCTTGCATATTAAATTTGAGAACATTCTGACTTTCGGTTTCGAAGAAGAAGTTGAAATTGTAAAGTTGACGACAACGGACAATCAGTAATATGAACAGCGGAGCTAAAAAAACAAAGCAATGAATTTTCACTGAGTTCACAACATGTTTTTGTTTGTTTCTCACCACATATTATAAATAGTAAAAACCTTAATTATTTAATGCAGGCGAAATACAACAGATTAAAAACTTGAATTTGAATTCAAAAATTTGAATTCAAAACATAGTGAATATCCAAGCAAAACCACATCCAATTTTTCTTCTTTTATAGCATTGTGCATTTGCAAAAAGTTGTCATCTAGTGACTATGACAAATCGACTTTACAATAAATATGTTTTCCTTTATTTTATATACTCGAAACAAGGCAAACAAAATTATCCATTCCTGGGTCTCATCAACTCATGAAAATCAGACTCACCTCAGAATGAAGTTCTAAACTTTGTTCAATCAAACTATCACCAAGAATTTCTTGAATTTCTTCCCGTTCTTCAGGAGATACATTTTCTTCAACTAGTTTCCATAGTGATGGAGGAGGCTGATATGCCTGAAGGTCATACGGTGGTATGTCGCTCATTGCCGTAGAATGTCCACAGCAAAAAAAAGTGTTTGATTTTGAAACTACCAACACATACTAGGTCATGGACGATAAAGTGTTAAATCTTTTGCATTTACCTTATACCATGCACACCATTTCTGCTTGGGTTACACACCATGTTTGACACTGTGCATGAAAACAAAGAAGTGAATTTCTATTTCATTTAATCTGGCAAATAAACACACAAATTTCAAATAAGTGAAAGTTGGGTATACCACAAATAGTCAAATGTTCTTGTAGCCATGCTTTAATTCCTCTTTTGGATTATACTACATGCAGAAATTGGTTGTGTCTCCATACGTGTTTAATTTCTAAAGACAGAGGCATAGCGTACTGGCAACATGGTGGGCGTTGATTCATCCCAAAACACATTTGTCCCAAGTTGATTCAGCCGCAAGTCGATTTGTCCCAAGTTGATTTGTCCCATGTTGATTCGTCCCACAAGTTTATTTATCCAAAGTCCACTACTAACTCACCCAGTACGCACACAAAAATCCAGACAACAAACAGTGCACACACTTAGCGTGCATACGTAAGTTTGTTAAGCCATCTTGTTGATGTTCATGTTATACCATTCAGATCTGATCATTGTGGTCATTGACAATCGTTTGCTTGTTTTATTACAGATATATTACTAAGAATGTGATGGCTTAGTAGCACACGTCAGAAGCAACATGCAGATTTTTGTCATTTAAGCATGACTGCAAATTTAATATAGCATAATAATTACAGTTCAGTCCAATCAAATTTTGCTTTTAAATAATAAATATTTTGTTTGTGTTTATATTGTTTGTTTCAGTTGTATGAACAGTTTATTGTACACCACAGATGTCCTGCTTGATCACATCATCTACGCCTCAAGAATAACGTTTGGGTTTTTATGATACTTGCTGTTTGTGTAACTGATCCATACACCGGCAAGGATCAAATGTCGAAGATCAAATTATTACACAATATGGATGATTTTATGGCAATGATACGGCCACGCTTGTGATACATTTCAATACATTTTACACTACAGGCGACTGTGGTTGAACCCACCATGCATCATAATGTTAATAAAACAAACATAAATCGCTGAGCATATAGGAAACAAACCTATTCATATCGTGTGACGACCTAAGTATGCGGCTGGCTGTCTAAGTAGAAAATATTGCTCCGAAATGATTTATAGTAAATTCATTCAGTGCAGGACCCCTGCATATATCGTGGTAGCAGTAATTTCGGACCTTTTTTTATCATTTCTAAGCAATATTTCCTGCTAGACGTGGACAAGCAACCATACTTAGATAGTCAAGCATCAATAGCTTGAAATTTGTGAAAGCTACAAGACGAAATCAGCGAAGAAAAGTTGATCCCACAGCTGTCCCTATTACCATGTCAACATAAACAAACTAATGGCAGCTAACCGAGGTCGTCGGTTTTGTTACACATGACCGTGTAGGTGGAGTTTCTTACCTCAATATTGGCTCCAACATATTGATAACAAATGTGTAAGACTACCTATATCCCTGACCTATATAAATATTACTGGTACGTGTGATACCAAGTAGATGAAAATAAACTATTTTCACGAAAACCCAAAACTGCCCAGAGCCCAAATTATCCAAAATGGCGGACATGCGTGGTACGTCACAGTTTTGCGGTCCTATTACACAGTGACGTCATGCTTACCGAAAGGTAGAGAAAACGCTGAACCCAGACAAACTTGTTGAATAAAATTTCATAAATGTATTGACGGTATCTATATACATTTTTAAATGGACGCAGTTCGTGTAAATTAAACGAAACATTTCCAATCATCTTGCAACCTCAGTAATAACGCCGCCAACGGCAATATATTAATGCCTTTCTTTTATACATCACTGGGAGCTCAGACTAATATAGAATATTACACGGTAGTCTGAGCTGGGAGAAAGTCTTTTTTAACTCTCAATTTTTAATCAGTTTTAATTGGATTCTCAAGTACTGAATATCAGCAAACCAAATTGTGCAGCAGCCACAAGAACATCCTTTTTATGTTTTGAGAATGTGGTATTTTTTTTATGAACCGAAATAACATTTAAAATGGGTTTAACTATCAGACCATGGTCAACCTGGCATGCACAAAAGATCAATTTTCATTTTGCCATGGGCAATTCTAGTATTATAAATTCGCTACATTCGCTGGAAATTCTTATTTTTTCACTAAATCATTCCAGTGAAAATTAATTCAAAGTATTTTACAGTAACACTTGCCATAATTCTTATTTGCGGTAATACTGTAGTCTATATCTATAATTAACCCATTTCACTTCCTGCTTCAACCCTGAGCATGTATGCTCAAATTACAGGACTTTTATCCCCGTAGTTAAGCCATACAACTCGAAGATATGGAGACTGAGTTTATTGGGCCCTTCATTTATTTCTGTAAAATGAATAATTTTCACTGGATTCAAATTTCGCTGATTTGTTGTTTCAGGCATATTCAGTGGGTTTTAAATTCTCGGTTTTATCATTTAGATAATGTGTTCTATGGTAAATTTTACATATTCACTGGGTTTAAATTTAGCGCATTTTCCAGTCAGCGAAATAAGCAAAATTAACCCCTTTACAATAGTCACAAAAACAGACATAAAGACTCCTCATAGTGGCAATGTTTAAAAAAAGAGTTTTATTCAAAAATATCAGAACAAAAAGTTAAAACAAATTGACCTGTATCTGTACATCGTTACAACGATCAGAGACATAAGTAGGATCACACTCTCAATAAACACAATGCAACCCATTCCCCTATCCCTTTCAATAAAATTCAAAACAAATGCACAGATAAACATTCATTCATTAGAACACTCATCCATAATCTCTTTACACTAAGAAAATCTAAGTGAAATGTACAAAGATTATAACTGCATTGTCAACAAGAGAAACAGGTCTTCTTGGCATAAGTGCCCCCCTCCCAACTAAAATTAAAGTTTTACATATGGTAGTAAATCAATTCATATGACAGTAGAAGCATGTTGTAAGCTATTACATTGTCATGAAAACTTTGGTTTGTTCATTGAGTCACAATTTGGCATAATTCACTGGTAGAATGTTATTAATTTTAAAATACTTTTGTTGAATGTTGCAAAATGACATAAGCATTGCATTGTGATTCATTGTAAAGTAAAAAAACACTTCTTGCTTCAACACACTAAGGCATTTTGTTCTATGATAGAGTAAAATATAAAATACAAATTTCCATTAAGGTGCCTAGCGAATATGACAATGTCAGAAAGACAACTCTGGTTACGATGTTGTTGTTTTAAATATTGAATGAAAAACTATTTTTGTTGGTAGATGAACACAAATCTAAACAAATCAACCCTGTGAACATTGTCCCGATTCAAATCAGAGACAATTTTCACCACTAGAGGGAGCACATGCTTTAAATTTGTAAATTTTGAACAAGACAAAAACAATATTTTAGGTGGCAATAAAACTTAATCCAGCATTTAAATATGAATATTAAACACAAATACAGATAATGCATACCTAGCAATCACACATGGTGTTTTTATTTTAGCATGATGCATGTTCAAGTCATCCAAACTTATCCCAAAAGCAAAACATAATGAATACATTATAACTGTATATGAAGGTAACAAAGTTTGTAGAAAGCACGTGTCAGGCTAATGGAATGATTGCTTTATTCACATTATTAATCAATAGACGGCTTCTTCCCAGATTATAAGTATAGACTTGCTGCGAATACTATGTCTCTCTTGATTTTTGTGATGCCTGAAAAAAAGTAAAGATAAGAAAACAGGTTAATTTGGTCTCTCAGAATTTAAAAGGAAATAATCAGTAAAACAAAGGAACATTCAATTTTCCATTTGTGTTCCCAATTCCCAGCAGGTATTGTGTTATGGTTTAGGCTTTATTTATTCACAGGTAGCTGAAATTATACTCCAAGATTATGATAGAAAGGCGTACCCATCAAGGCATGTCACTGAATACAGAGCCAGTTGCTATGTCAACACAAAATACTGTGAACCACTTAATTTTCACTGCTACAAAATGTCCTAATTATCAGAAACTTTGACTGATTTTCCCCAAATTACTGAAAATTTATCTTGAGAAATTGAAGCCAGTTATAGTATTGACAGCACAGACGCAACATTTTTTTTTACACAGGTGTTCAATTTAACCTGTAGATGTGTTCAGCATTGAGAGCCCTATAACAGAGATGATTTTGCATGAAGCTTGACTGGAACCATGCACTCTGTGGTAATAAACCATTGCGCTAGCAGGGGTGTCAACTTACCTTCGGCAAACTTGTTCTCAAGGTCTGTATTACCGATTGCCTTGGCAGCCTGACACATCTCACGAAGGAGTTCTTCCAATCGCCGCATACATCGAATAATACTGCCTGTGAAACCAAACATCAAAAGTGTTGAAAACAATTGTCTAAAGATGATACTATTAAAATAAGTGTGTGTTTTGGGATGTAAATTTCAAATCATGTTGTGGGTTGAGTCATGAAAATAAGTTTTCACTTTATTTGCTCTATTAGTAGCATATGCACTTACGTGACTAATTAGAGGTGTGTTTATGGTCAAAATAATTAATATCTTAATGATTCAGAAAATGTGATTTTTGTTTTTTATGCATTTCTATTGGAGATGTGATTCTAATGGAGCAAATAGGGTAGTTAACCATGATTGTTGCTAAACAATGATAAAACAACAGTGACAAGTCTTATGGAAAACTACCATGAAGTTTAAAAGGCGGTAGTCATCGCGCCATGAATGCACAAGATATATGGGTCTCATATAAATAAAGATGGCGACTTTGACTGTTGCGCAGATCGACAGGTACAAACTGAGACATTACCAAATTGTAATTAGGTTTTTTCAGGTGATTGAAAGGTATCACCGGAGTCACTGGCGGTAATTACTGCAAGTCTCACACAGATCAAACCTAATACTCGTGATTTCCGTTTGGATTGTGGGAAAATTAATGTGTATCAACACAAATGTCGCACATGCGCAGCGCGACAACTGCAGACCTTTAAATATTAAATTGATTGTTACAAATTACTTTTTGTTATCCATCAGCATTGTGAGTACCCATAAAAGGTAATTTTACCAATTCAGCTTGAAGAGAAACAAATGAAAAAATGCTTGGAACAAATGAAAATTACTACACTAGTTTAATCTGTGTGCATTCTAATGGATACAGATGAACTTCTAACTCCTGGTCTTTGTCCACTCAACTTGAGTCTGTTACATCAATACATATGAAGAATAATTAAGGTGATTGTTATTCCATAGTTATAGAAAATTATTACACTGCTTTGTTACACTCAACTGGCAAGATTTATATACTTTAGGATGAATAAGACTTCCTCTATTAGAAATGCAACATCAAATGAAATGTACTTGTTTGTTACCTTCATATACGTCTGTCATTTGACAAATCTGTAAAAACGAGGCACCATTGGCCCAGGCATAGCACACATCCATTAGATGAGGACAAAACGATTCTATGTAGTCTTCTTCATCAACTTCAAGTTTGGCTTCAGAACTCACTTTGGCAATTCTACGAGCAGATTCCTATAATAATTCAACAAACAGGAAGTACTGTACAAACAGGAAGTACTGTAGACATTCAATGAGTTGGACCCCTCTCAATTAAAGCGAGAGGGTCGTCACCTGCGCACGTGCGGGAATTGAGTCCCAAGCGATGATAACAACAAACACAAAGGCTCATGGGTAGACACTTGTTTGTAAACAATGACACGCTATGGCCGCCTGACACATGTGCAGGTGACGACTCCCCTGCTTTAAGACAACCACCAGATATTTTCTACAATAATAATTTATAATTTCTCTCTAACGATTCAACAACGTGGCACGAAAATTACAATTTCAAATGCTATCAATCATTCTCTTAAAAAAAATAAAACTAGCTAAACTTTTTAATCTGTGTTTTTTTTTTATATTAAACATTTTTCTAGTTTCAAATTAGCTTTGACATTTTTTATTCTACTGACTACAGAATAAAATAAATCAACTACTCAACCAAACATAATAAGTACACATTTATTTAAATATTCCCTCCATGTATGTGCAGAGAACCTCTCTCGAGCTCATCATAAGGAAGGTTTTGTACAGTTGGGCTTTGGGTTTTGAAATTGAATTAAGAAGAATTTCTAAATAGAATAAAGTGACCTTCAGTGATTACAACAATTAATAATTAATAATACATTTTAATACACACCTGCATTTGCCGAAGTGGTCCAGAAAGTTCTTCCGTCAATTTTGGCATCTCGTTAGCTTTCTCTTGAAATACAAACACTGACAACAATGCTATGATTTGCTCACACTTCAATTCATTGAAGACACCATTGAATATCATCTCTGTTAAAAGTAACTCATCTCCACTAGAAAACGAAAAGATAAACATAGTTTCAATTGAAGAAAAACAATGCTAATTGCTTTAAAAAATGTATAAAATGTGTGTTTGTATAAGCATGTATGGGATGCTCAATTAATACAATAATCATCCATGATATGAACAACATACTGATGCCTTCGTATGTTGACCATAGAAACACCTCTGTAATTAACAAACATGCATTACTAATAGAGCAAACTGAATATTTTACATATGTAATATAAGATATTCAGAGTATGGGGCCTCTGTCATAATAATGTTAGAGATTCCAGGTAATAGTGATGCCCCTACATTTTTTTTGTCTTCTTCGGAATGAAAATGGAAATCAAACTCACCTACTGATTTCACATGCTACCCTCCCCTTCATTTCAATCACATCAGATACGGTGGCATATCCCAGCCTCCTCAACACCCTCTTCCGACATTTCAATTCATCCATCTGAAGAACTGTTTTGGCTTTCCTCAATTCTTGTTTCACTGCTTTCACTTCTGACGCAAGCTACAGGTGAAGATGACAATGTGATAATGCATTGACATAACTTAACTTAAATCACTATAATATAATAAATTAAACATTTAATATTATTATTTTTGTTTTACTTTAAAGGTAACTAGTTAGTAACTAACACACAGCAGCCATCAAAGCAAAGTACCAATGAACAGAAAAATTTTTAATTTTTATTTGAAAGCAATTTTGTGAGCATATTTAAAATCATATTTGAAAATGAAAAGTAATACTGTCATATGAAATTAGTTTGTTGTATGTGAAATGAAGCTGTAATAAATATTACAGTATATGTATGTGGACAAATTGTTGTATGTGATTAAACCAGCCAATCACAAAAGGTGTTACATACCTGTGCTTTCTTTTCATACATATCATACAGCTTCTCTAATTGGGGATCATTATGCAGTGAGTGGGAATACATACGATGCTCAAACGCCTCAATTTTCTGTCCAAAAAAAAGAACAAAACTACTAAATTATTCTGTAGTCCAAGTGAATACAAAAATCACAGTAAATACTAAGTTAACATTGTTGCCATCCAGCGTTGCATGTCAGTTAAAAAATATCGCACATGAATTGGAAGTATTGCATAATCAACTATGACAACACTGACCATGCGCTGTTTTATTAGCCTGGACACATACATGTATATTTAACGATTGACAGTTATCGCTAATCACATGCACTAGATATGATTTCTACATGAACAAGATTCTTGACAATATTTATCTCAACACAATTAGCACACATTAGCAGTCCAAATTTGAGTGTACAAGAAAAGAGACAATACCAAGGTTTATGTACACACAATCCACTGAGTATTTCGCCCATATTGAATTGTTAAATAGAGCACAGTGACTTGTGCAAAAAATCAATATGTTTATTGACACAAATCTGTAGTATGCGAACCACAATGACCACTGCCGTTTAATAACAGCAATGGCGAACAACGCCAATATGGCTAAAATGGCTGCCATTTGGCCATTTTGAATCAAATAGTCAAAGCAATATATCTATGTCTATGAATATATAAAATTTGAACATAATCAGTCAAAGAATGGCAGAGATATGGCACGAGAACTGCATTCATTAAAACAAAATGGCTGCCAGTTGGCCATTTTAAATACAATCTGAAAATACAATGACGTGCATCAAGATTATTGACACAAATCAGTAGCATGAGTACCACAATGACTACTGTCGTTTAATAACAGCAATGGAGAACAGCATCAATATTAACATGGAACAAGAACAACTGATACATTGATATTTTATCCCTGCATTACTAAGCATGCTAAAATTCATATTAAAGCGAGAGGATCGTCACCTGCGCAAGCGCGGGAATACTGTCCCAAGTGATGATAACATTACACACTAAGAACGCAAAGGCTCATGGGTAGACACTTGTTTGTAAATAATGACATGCTATGGCCACCTGATGCATGCGTAGGTGACGACTCGCATGTTTTGGCCATTATCTGCGAATAATCATTATTTTACCTCAATGACTTTTTTCAGCCCAGACTCTTTTATTCCCATGTCATCTATAGGATCTAATAACGGTACACCATCTGGAAACCTTTTTCGAACTTCCTGGAATTAAAACAAAAATTATTCAAATCAGCTCATGAATATTCATGAATAGCCAGCTGGTAGTAGAAATTCTTTATTGTGAATCATTACATAACTGGCAATTGTCTGATCGTCCTTGGCAACGGCTTTATCACAAGGCAACCACATATGAAAACTGGTTGCTCATTTGGACAAATCAAAAAAAATAAATACAAAAATCACACTATTACAGTGCACAATGTAATATCACCATGGTAACTATGTTTTTGTTGAACATAAAAGCAGTTTTCAACTTTTTTGAGGAGTTATTTGAAAAGCCAGATGCTAACATGGTTGACTGATGTTGAAAAAGCCAAAAAAATTATTTAAATTTTTTGGGATGAAGTTGGCTTCAAAGTTGTATTCAAATATAGTTGTGGACAACTATATTTTTATGTGAACAACCAGGTTCTCATATTGGTAGCTGAACAACAATAGAATTATAATCATCGCTACTGTCTTTTGTATTTCTTCAATTAACATTTTGATGAAGAAGGACGGTGCCCCTACGGTTAACGTTTTACTAAGCCTTACACATACATGGGGTGAAGTATGGAAATGCAAAACCAAGATTTTCATCATTATTTTGGCCATTTAGGATTTTGGTTTCTGCTTTATACATGTGGGCGGAGCTACATCACAGAACATTCTATGTGCTAAGATGTGCACCACTGTACCATGTATTCCTATGAGCTAGATGCAAGCTGCTGTGGAACACCAGTCAAAAAGCCAGTTTCTAAAGTCAGGAAAACAGCACAAACTCAAATAATCCTGAGCAACCAAATTTATACATGTTGCACATGTAGGAGTAGTTTTTATTATAGGAGTTTCAAAAACTAACCCAAAGTACAGTTTTTTATTTTAAAAATTCTTCACTACATTTATTAAATTAAGTTGGAATCGTCCCAACGTGTCTAGTGGTATATACATTGCTTAGTAAGTAAACAAATTTGGTTCGCAATTTTGTTGAAACCAGCTTCACCCAAAAGTAATTGATAGTCTCATGGCATGCAGTTAAAATTGAGAAAAACGAAACCTACCTTTATTGATTTGAGAACACTTTGCCTGTTATCATACGGCCGCAAATCTTTAGGAATATAAAGTCTTATACTGCTGATCTGTATCAATAAGTGTAGCATCACCGGGACAACCACCATCTCTCCCTTTTCATTAGGTTTTGGAGGTTTGGCAGACTCGGATGCAGAGTTTTTGATGCTGTCTTTTGAACACTCTAACAAGACTTCCGCAACATATACTGGTTCTTTAGGATTACTTTTGTTTGATTGGTTTGCTTTCTTTTGGAAATTAACAACAACGCCCCAACTGAAGTCTTCATCGTCGTTTCTAACCTGAAAGTGAATTGAAATTATATTATTATTTCTTCATATCTAGGAGTCACTAACACAAGTGCTGATGATACAAATGTATATTTGTAGTGTTTGGAAATGAAATCATTATTCAGTTTCATGATGAAAGTTATCAATTTTTATTACGAAAAAAAAAAACATCTGACTATATTTAATTTTTAAAAAAATGGCCACCAGTCAGCCATCTTCAGACAAGTAAAACACAATTATGTGCAAAACTGCTTTATAAACAGAACACATTCATGGTAACAAGTTAGATACCGGTACATATTATTTTTTTTAGGCATTTCTCCAAAAACAGAGCCATATTCCATGTCAGCCATCTTTGACTGGGTGGAAACACAAGATATTACATTCTATGTTTTGTCACTGACAATAGAATCAATTTTTGGTTTCACAAAGTACTCATTTTTGTCAAAATGTAGAAGAAGTGTTGATAATTCGTACAGAACTGTGCACTGCAGATACATTTCTTAATACATACAGATACATTTACACCCTTAAACTGGTATGTTACACCGCATCTGATTGGCTAATAACACACACACACAATAACATAACAAGATCTACCAACCAATAGGTAGCAGCGTTGTAAAAATAGCAATCGACATCATAATGATTAAATACTAACCCGGACAAGCCTCCCAGGCTGTAAATATGGCAGACAATACTTTGGAAGATTTATAAACCTTTGGACTTCTTTTCCTAACTTATCTAACTGTTGTCTTATTTTATAGTAAGATTCAACACTGTCTTCATTTGGTATCACCACGCCATTATAATCTTTCTCTAGTTTCTTTAATTCTACCAAAAAAAATCAAAATTATATTTTTTTTTCTGAGACCACACCAATATGAAATTTAATTAGCTCAGCTCTAGAACAAAGCATAGTTCTCAGTAGAACAATCAATATGAGATAAACAAAGTAATTATTTTTTTTAACAATATCCATACTCACTGTCTATCATTTCTGGTATCGCTGCGTAGTTCTGAAACTGATAAAACGATCGTTCTAGCATGTACTCTGGGTTTATTTCTTCTACTCTGAGTAGATTCAACACCATATTGTACGTTAAATGGAACGCACTGTTCAGGGCATCCGCTTTACCCTGTCGATAATAAAAATCAAGAAAAGCTTAGAAAGAACTCCCCGTGTGCTACGGGTATTGGAGGCATGAAAAACAAGCAGCCAGTCGGCTGAGATAGCTCCGCTGTTAGCAATGCACATTTCAATTAAAGAACAGAAGATATCATTAGAAAATGAACAATATGTATAGTATCAAAGCAATGGGACTTGCTGTTTTCAACAAGAATTCAAAAATATCACTTTTCACCCAAAATTACGAAAATATTCATCAAAATTAGAGAATTAAAGATATCATTACAAAATAAACAAATCTGAGAGAGGTCCACATGTAGTACCTCTCTAATAAGTAATTAATATGCATAAATTTCAATCCTGAAGTAATCAGATCTGCAGATTATCCAAAAGCACCTATGTATCAAGTTTCATTAAAATTTGAGGAATGATACTCGCGTTATTTGTGGAGCACCTATGATTCATTAATTTATGCAAATTTGTAAGCCAGTTTATAATCTGATCTGACTTGACAGAATCAATTTAATTTTTCACAAAATGAGGTTGTACAAAGTCTGTGTTTTTGGCAACAATTTTTGAAAAACATCAACAAAAAAAGACTGAGTGAAATACTAACCTGTAGAAGGTTTTTACCGACTCCCGCACTCATTTTCTCATCAATCATCATTATGACGATACCCCGGTCATCTAAACCACGTCGTCCAGCACGTCCACTCATTTGAATGTATTCACCGGATGTGATCTACAATAAACGATGACACATATGTCAGATTAACTCATGCATACAATTGCTTCATTACAAGTACATCTCCAATAGAAGAATACACATGTATAAACCAAGAATGGTATTGAGTATATACAGAATGATCAAAATATATTATTTGAACCATGAACAAATTCACACAAGCACATGTGCTAGAGCAAATAAGATACGCCAGAAAGTCAATGATATATAAAAAATTTATTGTTCAGTCATATCAAAATATAATTACATGTTATTGAGCCAATGAAATAGAAATATTTAATTCTCACTGTCAAAAAGTATCAAACAAATTACATGTCACAAAAAGTATTTCACATGCATTTATCTGATGCATTAAATTTTGAGATCAACTATTACTGCACGGCATACACTCAACACAGTATCACACCTGCATAAATTCACCCCCCCCCTCCCTCCCCCCATTTAAATTGTTGAATACTTCCTGAAGAAATGATTTTACATACTGTCAACGTTCTTGTTTGTTTTCTTTCGTCTATGTTTCATGTGTGTTGGAAAGTGAGAATTTCAAAGAAATTAAATTTGTGGACAAATGCAAGAGACTATGTATATTTGCTATGGGTGGTGTTTGTAATGCTAATTAGCTGTCTATTATGTTTTTGGTTGATTACCAGTAATTAAAACATAGGTTTCAAAACAATGACATGTGTGTTTGTTTTTAATTAATAAAAATAGATTTTTACACCCTATAAAACGACCAATTCTATGTTTTCCTTGTTCCTTGTATTCACACTAACTGAGCGTTTGCTTCTTATAACCCAGCATTGAAAAATACAAAAAAGTGGAATTTTGAGTTTCAAAGCAAGAAAACCTATACTGTATCCTTAAGAACACAAAGAAATAAACATAAATGAGAACACTTTCAGGTAAATAGTCACCTACCCATCTGAAGTCTTTACCATCAAACTTCCTTGCATTCGTGAACAAGACAGTCCTCGCAGGCATGTTCAGACCCATCGCAAACGTCTCCGTAGCGAACAGTGCTTTGATCAAACCTTCTGAAAACAGGATTTCTATCGTTTCCTTGAGTATAGGTAATAATCCAGAATGATGTATACCAATCCCTCGTTTCAAGAGCGGTAATACGCTCTCAACCTGTAATAATCACCATGGTTACTAATTACCAATAAAAAATATATTCCAGAAGCGACTTCAAATTATGTGTCAGTGACTTGACGTCAGCACATGTTGTCCTCATTAAAATTATGTGTTATGTATATTTGTTTTGTTTTTTTGTAAGCATTCTTATAGGTCTGTCTTGAACTGTTCCTAATGCAAACAGCACGATGTAAGTAAAGACCAACCAGTGAAGAGAAAAGTTGATTGTACCACATGCACATGCACAGGTCAACAGTGCCACTTTTGTGATTTTCCAGTTTCTTATCAACATGGTGGCTGAAAATGAACTGCAACAGTTAGTTAGGATGACCATTTGGTAGAAATGTTGGTGCTTTACTTCATCTTTACAAAGTTTCTTACATTTAAAAAAGAACTGTCTACTGTAAAACTATTTATTTTCACTGACATTTAATTTCACTATTTTGATGTTCCCTATTTTGAGCATATTCACGGTGTTTCACGAATTTGTCAAAAAACCAATGAGTTTCATTGTTATTTTACATGCTCACGCAGACTTAAATTTGCGGATTATAGGTATCAGCGAAAATAGCGAAATTAAAACGCAGTTTAATGATTAATGCATTTACAGTATTGTTCTTGATTTGCTCCAAGGCATGAAAGTTTGACAACTCTAACCAGCACATGGATTACTTACCTGCGGTAACTTTTTATCTTCATCTGACAAGCAATCAATAGCGTTACTGAATACTTCTTCCACCAAATTCTTCTCAGCGGACGTATTAAATTCTATCTTTGACATCTGCATTGCATATGCCTCGCATTCTTTTTTACTGAAACTGAACACGATTACGGGAGAAAAATTCCTCTCCATGATCATTTTGACGATCTTGAAGCAGTTTGATGGACCTCTGGTGCCACCTTTCCTTCCTCTCAGAGCTTGGTCTCCCTTTGCCGCGTCCCCGCCATCACGAAGGATGGCCATTGCCGCATTGAAGTTATCATCACGGAACTCACCCTAAGAAACAGAGGATGCAAAATACAATTACATTATCCATTTAGCATCATTTTTGTAAACAAAATTTTAGTGTAAAATTTTTCTTTAAAGCGGGATGGCCGTCACCTGCACATACGCGGGAATTAAGTCCCAAACGACAATAACAACACACGCTAAAAACACAAAGGCTTATGGGTAGATGCTTGTTTGTAAACAATGACACGCTATGGCAAGCTGACGCATGTGCAGGTGATGACTCCCTCGCTTTAACAATATAGTTCTATAATTTCTATAATTCTTTTCATAATTTTGAACAAAATTAATATGCTGTAATTTCTAACAGCGTAAAGATTTGATTCCATTTTTTATCAGTCTAAATTATGAAAAGAAAAAGGGCTTAACTTTGACGTTCAAACAATACCTCAAACTTGAATTAATTACCAGCAATTAAATATATGATTTCTTAATTATACCGTACTATGCTTACAAAATAAAAGGAGAGGGGGGGGGTTCTAAATCTCAGATAAATAACATACGTACAATAATTTACAGGACTTGAGATTACAGTTGTAAGGTACTATCAAAGTGTAACATAATGAGCTAGATTTTAGCTGACTTAAAACTAGCATAGATTTTAAAACCATCATCATCATAATTATGAGAGTAATCAGCCTACATACAAGTATGTATATTAGCAGTAAGTTAGGAAAATGCTACAAAGAATAAGAAATTATTGATGAAATCGATTGTAACGCTTAAAATTTAAAAGTTATGCATGAACTGAAAAAAGTTCTGTAAATGCCCACCACTGATCAGCACCATGTGCCCACTAATACTGTAAACAAAATTGTTAAATTGTGTAGTAGTAAACATTTTCTTGGAATTCTTAAGATAGTTATTGTCACATTCTCAGTAACTTCTTTTTTCACGAATGCCATCCAGGTTTCTAATCAACAGCTACAATAAATTTACAATATTTATAATTTCTTCATACTGGCTAAATATACCTACATTTTCATCGACAACAAGATGTAATCCATCACCACCAGAAGGAAAGATGTAATGCTGCAATGGTACAGGACGATAGTCAGTGTATACCACATGACAAGGCTGTGAAATAAAACAGCAAAACATGATCAATTTATGAACTGTTTTTAAAAAAAAGTTTGATTAGGACGACATTATTATTTTGTTGCCATCCCAGAAAAACAAAGTACAGTATGTGAATAGGTGATTTTCCGTACGATTGCAAGATCTCACAAGATGCATTCCTTATTTCGTAGCTTACATTGACCGGCCGATCTTCGACAGAGGAATATTGCTTCCGAATACCCTTACTTAATCAAAATTGCCTATCATCAAATGTGGACAGCACATTATTAAGCATGGAAATGTCCCCGAAATACTTTTGCATTTGTCGAATCCCACACAATGTTTGACGCCACTACGACGCTATGACCTTTGTTTGTCCTGTTTTTACGTTCGATTTCACGCATAACGCGTGATTCTCGCAGTGTACGGAAAATGTTCTATTGGGTAACATCATAAGATAGCATTAGCAAGTACTAGTACTGTAAAATACTTTATTTTGCTTGGAATTAATTTTCGCTATTTTCACTGAAGGAATGATTTAGTAAAAAGAAAATACTTTTTTCGTATACATTCCTTTATTATTACATTCAACTTGTCAAAAATCAGTGAAAATAAAATCCACACAAAACACCCAATCCAAGTCTTTTTAACGAAAATTAATTCCAGCTAAAATAAAGTATTTCACAGTACTTGACAATATATTGAGCAGTCAGAATCAGATGTACCGGGAATCACAGTTTGAATCTATGGAGTGACATGTGGCTTACCTGCTTGTGTAAATGACAAATCCATTCAGCAAACTGTTTAGCATTAGGTATTGTAGCAGATAAGAATACGTAATGTACATTGTCTGGAAGCAGAATAATTGTCTCTTCCCAAACCACACCACGTTCTGGAAGTAAAAGTTAGATTATTATGTACTATTAGAACTAAGCACTATGTATAAACTGTAAAATAGTGACGCTTTCTTCCAGAAAACTTTGTGACAGTGATACAACATGACAGTATGTCACTCTGCTGTACATGTGTCAATAGCATACCTTTATCTCGCATGTAATGAATCTCATCAAAGACCACCCACGCAACTTCTCGCATAATCTCAGAACCTCGGTATAACATACTACGAAGAATCTACGGGGAAAATATATACTTACAATGTTAAGGTCATTGTTTTCAAATGTCATCAACATGTTTGGTAGTATTTTGAATAAGTTTGAAAGTGATACAACTGAGTTTGCGGGTTAAAATTGTGAAATGGACAATAAGCAAAATAGCCCTACTTTGGTAGAAGTCCCAGTGTCTCATATATCAGTATACACCACCCTCTCGCTAAATTCGACAAAATAACCAAGCCAGACTGTCTTGTAAGGCAAGCTTTGATTGGTTGGGAAATCTTATCAGGTTGAGATTAATTTGCAAAGTAATTTGTCCGGATGCAGTGAGAGGCATTGCACATCGATGACTGAAGATATGGCAAAACAATCCATTAGTTTTCAAAATTCTCACAAATCAAGATAACAAACCTTATCAGGTTAGTGGTTATTTGAAACTAAACACTTACTTCTGTTGTCATGACAAGACAGCTGGCTGTTGGATTTATCGTCACATCTCCCGTCATCAAACCGACATCTTGGAATTCTTCGTATAACTCTCTGTATTTCTGATTACTCAGAGCTTTGATCGGTGTCGTATAAATCACTCTCTGTTTATCACGTAATGACATGGCTATCGCGTACCTGAGATAAGTTTAATCAAAGGAAGTGTCAATTCTGTCTGGGACACATTTCATTCATTTAAATACATTGTTTATAATTCCTCGATCGACACAATCATGATTAGTAATCATTATATTGATTATCTAAATGGCAAGTATAGTGATTAAAGGTAGAGAATAGATGAGAGGAGACGTCACACAATGAAACACCCAAATGTATCCAAGCCCTTTAATTTATCAACCCTTGCTTGTACTTACTCGGCCACCACAGTCTTGCCAGCTGATGTATGCGCAGACACCAGCACTGATTGGTTGTTTTCCAGACATTTCAAAGCCTCTTTCTGGAAAGGATCTAAAATAAAAGGATATTCCTACAAAACAAGCAAATTAAGAATATTTGTATGCATATTGAGCTTCAAATTAAGACTTACGTGGAAACCATCATCCATTATCACGTGCCCACCAACTTTACAATTCTACTTAAAAACCACAAATCTGATTTGCAGTTCAGTCAGGTACTTTCTCATATTTGTTTATCTTATGACAAAATGATATCTTCATTTTTGGACAAAAATACTGCAACCTGTTAAATTTCATTTTTTATGCTTTTATAAATTATAATTATGGCGAGATCCCTGAAAATTATATTTGATGTTTATTTAAAATTAAAAGTTATATGTGCGTGAAAAATGGCTAGACTTACTCGATCACTGGCAACTATTACCAGTAAGCAATGTGTGTAAATTAGACACAAATATGTGGGTTACCATAGTTACCTTAGCAGCTTTTTTACCCGTTGGTTTCAATGGTTCGTATTCAGCGTCATGCGGCACAGCTACTTCATGGGTACATGCTTCTAGTGTTTCAACTGGCAATACTTTCACTCGAGGCAAAATTTCCGATTGACTAAAGGAAAAAAAGAAATGACAAAAATTAACTTTGATCACAATGATAACAAAGAGTCACAACAATCCTATGATCTTCTTCTGGAAGCATTTCATTAACAAAATTCAGTCTTGTAGGATAACAGTATGTATGTACAAAAAAATGAAACAACGCCACCAAGTCCATACATTTCCAACACGATTTTGTCATGACTGTTACTAAAACAGCATGTAAATGCACAAGTTATCGTCACAAGTTAACCACCGGTAACATATTGTTCTGTTTGATACATAATTGGGTGTGCATCCCTGAACCCAACACTTTCATGAATTCTTGCAAACGAAAATACAGCAAGGATACACCTATACATATGACCATGAAACAGAAACAATGAATTTACAGTCAAATGTAATATCATAAAAATTTACTGATACAAACATGACAGGAAAGAGCAAGGACTTACTTTAAATCTTCAGCTATGCACAGTGCTGATGCTAGTCTTGGCTTTTTACTTTCACTTTCCCCGGATGACTGTAACTCTCTTTTCAGGCCAGAAGAATTGGCAACCACATTGCCGACATGAGCATGGGATGAACTACTGAAACATACAGTTATTATAATATTTTTATGTAAAACATTTCAATAGCATGAATAAATTAAAGGACATATTTGAGAATTCCTGGGTTTGCACATGAATTATTGTGGGTCGCTACCGTTGTAATTGAAAACAGAGGTAAATTAACGTGAATCCATGCACGTTGATACATTATTCAAAACTGGTGGCAAATAAACAAAACAAAATTTAAATTTACAGGTAGCCCACTCAGCACAGGAATTATAATCAAATATGCGACGCCTAGGTTGCAAGTAGAGGGCAACTAATTAATTCACTCCATGCATGCTGGTTCATTCACTGTACATGATACAATTCTAAAGAGGCCATACAATAGACCGGCGCATACACAGGGGTTTTTCTAGAAAAAAAATGCAAGGGGAGCACTCCAATTCAGTGGCGCCACCAAGTGGGAGAGATAGGGTTCTCCCTACCAGGTGTGGAGTTTTTCATAATTCTGAGTTAAAATGGAGCATTCTATGGCTTCCTTGGGGCCAAAATTACTCTCAGACAGGTCACAGTTGAAGACTGTGGCCACATGTTATCCCTGGTCAATCAGAATTTTATGGTTGCCAGAGGATCTGCTCTCCAGGGTGAGGAAGCGCTTGGCCATGGCATGAGGGCACTGTGCCCCAGTTCTCTTGTTTTAAAAAAATCCCTGCATTCAAAATTGGTAAATGTTGTTTATTTTGGTATGCTTTAGTAGGCATTAAAATACTTTATTTTAAGGGCTATGATTTATTCAACAGATATTGGTAATGTGGAGGAAAGGCGTTGGTGAAATTTGAGAGAGCAATCAAAATTCTCCAAGCTGGTATTTTTATAAATTAAATTTGCCTTTTTTTAAATTCAATTTTTTTTTTTACAAATTTAAGTTTAAAAACTGTATGATCGCTGGTATCCCTTTTCATCTCCTTCGGGGGATGTTGTGTGTTAATAAAAAAATGAAAATGGAGTTAATAACTCCAACCATATCCCTACTCGTAGCACAGTACAAAAACTACAAAACACAACAGCGAGTCACTCATATTACTGTGAATGAAGAAGCAACCCAACCAGCTGTATTGCATGGCAATATAGCTCATTATTTTGCAAACGAAATAACAATAATGATATTTCAAATGTAAGTGTGTAATGGTAAGCATCAACACAGCTACTAGTACATTGTACTCTGTACCGAGAGATGCTTACTGTAATTCCGACTCTCGGCAATACAGTGAGCTATACAGCAATATTGCTGGTCGGATTCACAGTAAGTAAACATGTTGAGTGATTGGAAAATGGAATGCATCATTACATGATCTCACATGCCGCTTTTAGATACACTAGGTGTTGAACAACACACAGGCAGTCAAACACGTGTGATTTCAACGGAAATCGACAAGTACCTGTTCTGTTCTGTTCTGTTATATTACTCTACACATAGGTATATTAATTACATTGTGCAATTTGCACTATTTTAAGTCGATCGGGTACAATGTGCATGAACTTACACGTCTTCTGCTTTGCAACGTTTACTTTTATCTTGTTTTGATGGACCATCTTCTTCGAAAACGCTAAATATATCCTCTCCAAATGCTTCCGCCATGTTGTTGATCGTTGACCTTAAATTCCCATAATCCCTCAGTATCAGGTGTGCTTCCGGGTTTTAAAAATGTGCCCTCAATCAGAAGACTGGGTTCTACTTCGTTTTTATTCTACCGTGCTAAACATACGGACGTACTACCATATTACTTTGTATTTCTACGATAGAAAATGACAGAAAAGGATCATTGTATTATAGATGAATGTTAATTTGCTATTGGTGTTTGTTTTTATCGTTTTTGAAGTTTTATGATAATGATACGACATGCCAATGTATCTCAAGAACAACTGTGTTGTTCATTTCATAGATACTAAAATACAAAATCTAGTTTTGACTGCTTTATCAAGCTGGTTTCTATTTATTTTTTTTAGGTTTACCATGCAGACAGATGCGCAAAGATCATACTGTTTTTATGAACGCATATAACACACATATTGTATGTATTTCAACACTAAAATTTCAACAACAAAAAAATTGGGGGGAATGTGTGTCTTAAACTATTCTAACAATTATGTTCTCAAGTTTATGAGAGATGTCTGTTGTTCCAAAAAATTCACTTTGTTTAAATATCATATATTTTTAGTCCAAAAAATAGTATTTGACATGGTTATGTAAATAATTAATAAGGTTTGATGAGGTCATTCACATATTTAATAAATCTTTGAATATTATGTTACACTTGTTATGCCTGAAAAACAAGAAATTCTATTAGAATTTATTCTATAGGACATGCGTTAGACAAATGATATTCAGAGGCGGCAAGACAAAATTTTACATGAGGGGGCTAGATCCGAAATCTTGACCCTCTGAGTCACTGTTTCCTCCATTTTGAGGGTCAAATTTTGCTGACACAAAGGGTTTCAACTTGATTTTTGGGGGGGCGACGGCCCCAAAAAATGTTTTGGGTGGGCGACCACCCCCTCTGCACTTGCGACGCCACCGCTACTATTATTTGAGTCCAACAGGTTAAGGATGGGGGGATCAGGTTATCCCCAACTTGGAAAGTGAAATTCCTGAGAATTTGCTTAATTATTTTTTTATTGGCTGTTTTCAATTCAGATGAAAAAACTATTTTTTGAATCATGAAATGTACGGTATGTATTATGCTAATTTTCCAATCCAAAATGGACATCAAATTTGGGTTTAATGCTACAATGAGATAGCAAAGTGATTGTTTCCATGGAAACAAGTTTGGTTTTTCACAATTTCTATTTGTTCTTTGTCATTTATATTACAGAACTTTTCACTCAGCAAAATATCAAGAATTTGTGTTTTCAAAATGATCAAATTTTTTAGTAATTAACCGTATGAATCCCCAAAAACGTTTAAGGGCTGTCAAATATTTTGGATGGAAATGATAAGGTCGTTAAACTGGAAGAATAAACTTTCACAGATAGAAATAATTTTAAGTGTTAGCAAAAGACTTACTGTTCTAAAAATCCCATTGAAATCTTCAATACTACAAATTGATTCAGTTTTCCAGAGTCCCACTAAATTTCGTCTTTCTTGAAATTTAACTGGTTCACTGTATACATCTATGTCGTACTATCCAGACATCGCAAGGTGCATCACCCATATTTGATATTTAAGTATGCACTTGGAAACATTTATTACCAGTATTCACACAAAAACTTACCCTCAAAATAAAGACAGACAGGTTTAAAAGTAACACAAACTCATTTAAAACATATCAGCACTGGTACTTTATTTATTCAAAGAAATACAATTCAGTACATCTATATTTCAATGTTGGCACACAATAAATAAGAAAAGTTCATAAATTTAAAACTGAACAATGTAAACAATACCTGACAACTCTAAATAAAATTAAGCCTAATTATGTAAATCTTATTAGCAGAATTATACATACATGATACACACACAGGACATTTTGCATACACCTATTAAATTACAGAAAACACTTGGAACAAAAACTGGGCAGATAAAAATTGCCTGTTGAAAGGTTTAAATAATATTATGGTTATAGAAAGTACAATAGATGACTGTGTGTTAACTTAATTTATTTGACCTGAAAACTTTGGATATTTGCATGTATTCAAAGGTGGATAAAAAAAAGGGTTCACAGTTGGGATGACATGTGACGGAGATCCGCAGGATTTTCAGATCTAATTTATACAACATTGCGGCAAGTCAACTGGCATGACACATGTTAACAATGAGTGAGACTCACCACAACACAAATGTTCAGAAATTGGGCATTTTTAGACAGCAGATAAGAAAGCTTGGTTTTTACATTTATAAGCAAGTTGGTAAATACAAAATATTGACTATTTTTTTTTCCTGGTTCTTTAAAGATGATAATACTAGTTAAGACCTTTCACTTCTTCGCTTGATGCTGTATTGCATATAGCAGTGTACGCAAAACCCATCGACCACGACCTTTTATTAGTGACTGGTGTACTAGTACAAGTTCCCCTGACATGCACAATTGAAACTGAAATCACATAGAATGACCAAAAGTTCTGGAATTTTGTTTGTTGCATATGTCTATGCATGAATAGTAGAGATACAGTTGCGTATTAGATTGATGATCCAACTTATTATTCATCTCAGCTATTATCAACCTCAATTCCCTTATCCTAATCAGCTCAGCTATTATTAATCTTATTTCTCTTAACTTAATCAGCTAACTATTATCCACATTAATTATTATGCATCTTAACATAAACCACCTTGGCTATTAACGGTATTCACTTTATCTATTACCCGGTATCTACTTCTGTCTACTTTATCTAATATTTAGCATTTGGTTTGGAATTACCCGGTAACTCTATATCAGAAAATAACAGACATATTTGTGTTTTTTAAATGTAAAATTTTAACAATATATTTTTGAATAATGAATGATAAATTGTAACTATTATTAAGAACATCCCAATTACTGACAGTAAAGTCACTAATAATGAGAATTAATAAAAAAAGAAACAATAGAAATTTCTGACAGAAAATAAAAACAGTCATAATCATCAGAGCCATGTCTTTGTTTAATTAAACTGGCAAACAAGATTTAGTTTTCCGCTTCAATAAAAAATCATTTTCTTCATATTTAGTCTTTCATATTTGCCCTAAAATATTGATCAAGCCTTTTATTGTAACAAATGAGATAGATGCTCAGTCAAAAATACAAAATAATGTATTTTGGCTGTTTTGTATGACATTTATTTGATGAGTTGAATTTGAAACATTTGCAAAAAGGTATTTTTATTTTCACTGATTCAGCTCTTTCGTGAAAATAAATTCTAAGTGAAAATAAAGTATTTTACAGAACATATGTTAATATGTAATTACATGTTCATAAAGATTTCGACTAAAAATACAACTATAAAGGTTGGGAACATTTTACCACTAGTACATTACACAACCAAAGGTAACATATTATTGATGTTGATTTCACTGAAATTATTGCAAACCACAGAACAAGTTTAGAAGTAAAATGACCAGCCTCGATTGCGAATGCTGTATTTGCGCTATAACACATTTCCAACAGTTAAATCGCATTTGTTGTTGTACACTTCGTTAATCGTTAAATTATTACTTATTTTGACCATAGAAACAGCTTAGTAATTTATGTGTTCCGGGGTATACTAATAGAGCAAATACAGTGAACTAAGTCTAGCATACACCCTCCTACATTTCTCAATCCATGAGTTACTGAGTCAAATTTACCAATGTCGCACCAAGGGTAACATTTCTGTTGTCAAATTGCATTTATTTATTAATGGAGAATAGCTGGAAATAAATTTGTACAAAATTTTACTTTCCAAACATAGGAGTACAAAGGTTAATTGTCTTGCACGAGGATGACCTAAAATTCACGATTGTGACTCAGAGAGATATATGGCGGGTGCCACATGTGGAGCAGGATGTGCTCACTCTTTTCGAAACACCTGACATCACCTCTTGGTTTGTGCCTCGAGGTCCATGTATCTCTCTTACCAATTTGGCAGTGTGTTGTTTGTTTTGTTTGTGTGTCGCCTGTGTGTTCTCAGATTTGTAAATATTGCCTTTTGACATTGATTGTTTGGATTATAGTTGGGTATTGTTGCTTGGATTTTCAGCACAGTATAAAAATTAACAAATTGAAAAAGAAATTCGCAGAAAAACGCAGCCAAATATCAATTATGTTCTAAAAATAATAATACGAAAAAACACCGACAGTATAGAAGGGTTGTGGGTAACATAGTTCAGTACTGCTCATATATTCGTGATCATTCTGTTAAAATTTTACATGTTTTATGATGACTTGATTCTCACTAAAAATCCGCATCAAGCGTGAACTCCTGCCTTTGATTCACCGTTGACATCACATTTGCTTTCTGATACTCCCCGACTCTCTTCTCAAAGAAGTTGGTCTTTCCTTCCAGCGATATGTTTTCCATAAAATCAAATGGATTCTCTCTGTGATATACCTGAGAAGACAATAGATTCATACAATGAATGAGCTGAGTGCCATGGTGTCACTGAAGATTTTATTAATTAAAAGACTTATTAAAGTCAGTCGTATCTGAATTGTTTTCCTTAAATTTATTGCAATTAGTACAATGTTACATCTTGGACAAGACTAGATAGTTGTCTTGCAAAGAAACCCATACAGACCTAGCAGACGTTCATTCACTTACTAATGCAACTATAACAAATTAGGGAGAAAAACCCTTGTATGAAAGCACTGCTAGGAATTTTCACTATTTGATGATTCTAAGCCAATCGTAAAGACAAAATTTCATGATTGTCACTGACACTCCATATTGTAGAATCTTGAAGAAATTTTGACTGCTACAAAATTATCATGATATTCATGAAAATATGTCTCGTGAAATTAAAGCAAGCATTTCTTTAAATGATCATTTTACCGGTACCTCTCCCCAATCACATGCACTGGCAGTATTGGAAACACATCTGTAGAGTTAGGCCAGACATATTATCCCTTGTTTTGCGAACCCGCCGATAAACAGGAGCCGAAAATGAAATAAAAATGAAATTTTATTTCAGCGACTTGCTAAAAGCTATTTTTTTCCGCCATTTTCGTGGGAGTATCATGATCAAAATACTGAAGTCTCGCGCAGTTGAGAAACAAGGTTATACATGGAATAAAATTCTATTTCATTTCTTCACTCTGATCAATGATCTCACTTACAGTTCTTTGAGAATCACACAAATCTAATGGAAAAAGAATTAATTTTATTTTTTTCCGCCCTCCTCAAAAAAATTGCCTTATAAAAACTCGAGAAACAAGGAATAAATAAAGTCTGGCCTTAACTGCTAAGATGCAGCCTTTATATCTGTACATAATTCATTTAATTCTAAAAAAACAATTCCAGTAATAAAAATTAATAATTATAATTACAATGACAATGACAGACACTCACCTTGTCACAGTTCAATTCTAGCAGTAGCCTGTCTGCTACAAACTCTACATAGTAATTCATTAACGTCACATTCATGCCAATCAAGCCTACTGGCAATGCCTCGTTCCAGAATTCTTTCTCGATATCAACCGCCTGGGTTATGATATTTCTTATTCTCTCTTTACTTGGTTTGTACGTCAAGTGTGAAAAAATTAAACAAGCAAAGTCACAGTGTAAGCCTTCGTCGCGACTGATGAGTTCATTGGAAAACGTCAACCCTGGCAGCAGACCTCTGTAAAAGTAACAATAATAATATAAAAATGATGCAATAGGCCTTGACTGCTAATGGACATACATGCACATGAGATTATTTTACGAGAAACAAATACACTACAAAGCTCGAAATTCACAAAGCCAATGGAGACAATTGCTTAGATCTGAATGCATTGATGACCTTCAGTAATTTTTTGCACTTGAAATTGCGTGCATTCACATACTGAAATTTTAGCCCCTTATAGTATGAGTGCAAATTTCTCAATTATTTTCCAAAACCAATACAAGTAGTTGTAACTGAATGCACTCCAGGGGTTATGCTAGAAAAACAAGGAGCACTGCAATTCAAATTAGATAATTAATATGCACAGAATTTTAACCAAAACTGATCAGGTGTGCACGTTGTCCCAGAACAACTATGTACCAAGTTTCATTAAAAATCTGTTTAATACTACTCGAGATCATATCAGTGGAACAGACACACACGCAGACGCACTAACCACAAAGACTCCCATTGCGTGTTTTGCACACGGAAGTCAAAAATGGTAAGCCAGAGCAGGCACCAACATTCAGAGATAATGAAAATCTTTGAAAAGTTGTGTGTACATATCTCGCAATGCATGCATGCACAGGGGTTTTTCCACAAAAAAACTGCAAGAGGGAGCAGTGCAATTCAGCGGCACCACCAAGTGGGGGAGATAGGGTTCTTCCCACCAGGGTGTGGAGTTTTTGATAATTCTAAGTTAAAATGGAGCATTCTATAGCTTCCTTAGGGTCAAAATTACTATCAGGCAGGTCACAATTGAAGACTGTGGCCACATGTGATCCCTGGTCAATCAGAATTTTATAGTTGCCTGAGGATCTGCTTCCTAGGGTAAGGGACGCATGGTCATGGCATGAGGGCGCTGCTCTCCTGTTCCCTTGTTTAAAAACATCCCTGCACTTAACAATTTAAGGTATGATTAAGCCTGTTATAGAACAATAACAAAATGCTAAAAAAGTGGCGAGATGTGCCTTGGCGGGTACATGTAAAGCATAAAGCATTGTAATTGACTTTTGTGCATTCAAAATTAATAAAAACTAAGAAAAAACAACCCATACAATTAGGTTTAAAACAAATCTTTGAAACTTTATAAAAACTCAAGAATCAAAAAATTTCAAAATCTTTTTCTATAATATATTTCAGTTACTATCTTTCCTCATACTACACATCTATACCATTGTACACAACAGGATTTAGCATTCAGTAAAAAACCATACTTCTATTATTTGGG